GGGTCAATTTTCGCCATGGATGCCGCCCAACGTAACACCGTTAATTCAACCGATGGACCAGAATTTAATAAGACTCACCAAACTATACTATAGGAAGTTTCTACTTTTGTCAGTCTTATCAAAGAATCCTGAAAACTTATCTGAGGCTTTAAAAAAAGTAACATTACGAGAAGCTGTTTTAGATTTACATATGGCCTGGAATGGACTTAACCAGCAAACTATTCAAAAATGTTGGAACAATTTCTTTTGTACCAATAATGAAGATGATGAAGAAGACGATGTCCCTTTAAGCGTAATTAGAGAACATTTGCGAGCCAATAATGATAATGTTATTAGTGTGTCATTGGATGTTGTTGATTTATTGAAAACAGTGAATCCCAACATTGTTTGTACTCCTGCTGATATTAATTTATGGAACGAAGATAAGCAGACGAATGATGCTGATAAGGAGGAGGATATGGACAGTGAGGATGATGATGAGAACGATCCCATTGAAGTCAGAAGTGTAGAGACTGACGCGCAAGCTATACAAGTTTTTAACCAAGCTTTAGATTGATCTGAAAGAAAAGAAGTTTCATACACGGACATTTTAGTTCTTCGTAAATTACGGGCGCAGGCATTGGAAGACAATGCTAAGCGCAAATTTACGCAGACAAAAATTGTTAATTATTTTTCTTCTAATTAAAAAAATACTTATCGCTGTTAGAATATTTGTTTATTTTGTTATAAATAGTATGCATTAAACGTTTCTTTTAATAAATCAAATATTATATAAATCACGTTCGCTAATGTAAACATTTCGATAATGTGAACCACACTTGGATTAAATTAGTTTACATTATGGAGCGTCTGCTGTAATATAAAAATATTATAACACAGAATAAACTAAATGTGGTATTTAAGCATCTTATGAAACCACGTCAAGTACACTTAGTAGTCTGACTCTTGTCTGTTAAATGCAGTTAAAACCATTGAAAATAAACGATACGAATTTTTCACATTCCAATTTTTTGTTATAAACAGTTATGATAACCTCTCACTAGAAACTGTCTCTGGCTCGATTTTTCAAAACAACTACGCCCTCTTGGATCCGCGCCTGTGACTTTGAAGCCCGGAAAAAAGTAGCACCCCACTAGCGTACGATATTATCTTTCGCTTCCAATTAGAGAAAAGGACCGGTTGCCAATTTGGTCTGATTAAACGTTTAGAATGTATCCCGTAGAACTACAGAGGTGGCTTAGGCGCACGCCTTTCTGCAGGTGCACGCCGATTTCGGGAAAGGGAAGAGAAGCGATATTGAAAAAGTATTTGACGAATTTATTTACGAACAGATCATCGAATTCATCGAGGGAAATGGAATTTTAGCAAAAGATCAAGCTGGATTCAGGAAGAAACACTAAACTGAAACGGTAATACAAGTGGTTTTAGAGGACTGGAGGAGATGTATAGACAGTGACCAGCGTTTTTGAACTTCAAAATTCTCCAAAACTAATTAATTGGCAGAACTCAAAAAAAATTGGATCTACATTGTCAAGCTAAAAATATTTATGTTGGTGTATCGCAAGGTAGTAAGCTAGGTCCTCTACTATTTATTTTACAAATAAAAAAAAATAGATTATTGTAAAATTCAGATATATCAGATGTGATAAAGTGAAAGTTTATTGAACGTATTAAAAGAATCCACTTATAAATAAGGAACACAATTTCGATACATACATTGTTTTTCTTTTTAAAACCCACACTACACTTTTTTTGTATTTAAAGAAGGTGTTCAAAATGTCGTCCTCCACTTTCCACACAAGCTGTATTACGACGAACCCAGTTTCTTCTTACTCTAGGTCCTCGAAGTTGTCCATTTATTATTTCAGCCGCATTAAAAAGTTTTTCGCGACGACGTACGCGAACAAAAACAAAACAACATACTAACCACTGTTATCGTTTGCGATAGATTGCCGGTTCGATAAGAGCGATGATGGCCGACGCGCTGTTGTCATGTGTGTTTTAAATATTCAATTCAATGAAATTTACTTACTGACTACAAATTTTATCTTAACTTAATGCCATTTATTTGTTATTTACCCAATTTAAAAACGTTTTAGATTAGATTATAAAAATTAGTAAGTTTGTAGTGATTGTGGTCGATATAAAGCACTTACAAGTTGTAAACTATAAAGCCATTTAGACAAAAATCTATTGACTTTTGGAACATGGGTCGTATGAACTTTTTGACTTGTTTTGATGACCCCCCCCATTACCCATTTCAATAATAACTACACCCTATATAAGACGAAATATATCCATATTTACAATATTCCAATAATAATGTAACTATCATATCGATATTTCAAAACGGATTACTTGAATTTAATCAACTATAAAATGTTATAAAATCTACTTGTAATTTGAAGACGTTTAAAAGAAAATTAAAGGAACATTTCATGGAGAATGAAAATTTTTAGAGATGCAAATTGTTTTTCTAAATATTCGTAAGTTACATAATTGTTGCAGTTTTTAAAAGAATGGAACTGTAGCAATCATGCTAATTAAATTTTGAAATTATCCCCATTTCTAGTACAATTTCTCACCTTGAAAGCCTCTTTACCTGCAGCGGGGTTTCCGAATTATTCCCTACTTTTCTTAAGAAGCATCCTACATACAAGACGTATTTATTTCTGGCCGCTAGATGCCGCCACCGTCGTGACCTCGCTAAATGATTCTGGTAATAGATGACACCTAGTCCTTGAGGAAAATTTTCTTAAAAGAATGCAACGATATATTTCGTCATACGCCGAGAAGTCGGTATAAATTGCGTCAACCTGACTCTGATTAATCATACATTCGGAGATATATTGAGTAATATAATATTGTAGAACTTTTTCCCAAAACACTGTATTTTTAGCAGTTATTTTCACCATTATTTCCACCGCCATTTGGCATATGACGTTGACGTCTGTACATATGTCATGTATGAGAGGCGCTTGCCTGCGGTGTTGCCGGATTGGGCTCCGCATTTAGGGAAAAATATGAAAAGTGGAACATTTATAATAAATATATTAAAGAATGAAACACAAAAACGAAAAACTGAAACAAACAACAGTAGCAAAATAAAAAGCGATTCTTAATACGTACAAAACAAAAAATAACGATAGTAAGCTAAAAAACAATAAATTGTCAATACTTAAAAAAAATAAAAAATAGTAAGACAAAAAAAACTATTCCATGTAATTATAAAAAACAAATAACAAACAGTAAAATAAAAAACATTTTTTTATAATTATATGGAATTGTTTTTCATTTTACTACTGTTTTTATTTTTTGTTTTTTATAATTATGTATTTACAATTTATTGTGTGTTAGCTTACTACTGTTATTTTTTGTTTTATACTTATTAAGAACCGCTTTTTATTTTGCTATTGTTGTTTATTTCAGTTTTTCCTTTTTGTGTTTCATTGATTAATATAAATGTACATATATAGAATTTCCACTTTTCATTTTCCCTAAATGCGGAGCCCAATCCGGCAACACCGCAGGCAAGCGCCTCCCATATATGACATATGCACATACGTCAACGTCGTCATATGGCAGATGGCGGTGTAAATAATGGTAGAAAAAAATGCATGAAAAGCGTGCTTCATCCACCCTTTTTTTATTTTAAATAATCTATCAGACTACCCTCTAGAAGTTTCAAGTGAAAAAACAGTGAAATTCGAAGTTCTACAATAAGCAACAGTACCCGCAAGATTCGTAACATTTGACCTCGACGCTGTTTCAGTATTAACCTATTTTCTTTTTTTTTTTTTGTTTGCACATTTCAAGTCCGTACCTGTAAGGTGTTCAGCTACCATCGTGGGGTGTATCATATCCTTCCCCTTTGATGTTTACAATGGAAGATGATACAAAAAGATGCATACCTGATTGCCCATCACATGTACTAGAATCTGGGATCGGATTAACAATGAATCATACTTTCTGATCTACGCGAGGATTTGGACCAGAGCAAGTAGGGGATAGTTTATTGTATGAAAATGGATGGATATTGTGAAAGTAAATGATCGGTTTTCAAGGTGGAGAATGTATTGTGGATGAGAAATATGGGAAATTTGATATGGCGTATGTAGGTAACTATTAAACTAGAACTTTTTAGTTGTTATGCAACCAAGAAAATTCGTCTGTAAAGGCTGAATTTCGTACAAAATTAAGGATAGTGTCAGACAGCATTTAGTACATGATTTTGTATGAGCAAATTAAAAACAAACTAAAAAAAATGTATTTTAGAAATTGGGCTTATACAGGGTGGCCGAAACGTAACTGACTGGTTTGTATATTGAAAATATATAGAACGGTTTTATTTTTTTACTCAAAAATGGCGCATCGAAGGAAAACAATTCAAGAGAGATCATTTGTTTTAAATTGAACGGGGAATTCAAAAATAATTGGCAAAAAACCATTGGCGTACCATTTTTTTCTTAAAAAATATCGAAGTCAATACCGGTACGACCCCACTGTTAAAGCTAAAAATTATTTTTGCATTGAAAAATATGCAACTTTATTAACCTTCACTACGTACTAAATATCAGTGAAATATCTGATGCGGTTCTGAAAATATTAATATCCATTTTTTTCCTAAAACTTCAACACTCCGAGTTTTTGTAATGAAACTTTTTTGGACCATAGTTTATAAAGCAAACTAACATTAATTTTTCATGTAGATTCACACCCTTGAATATTCGCATATCATTAAGGAACACCCTGTATATTGGCAACCCTGTATATCCATCTTGCGCTTCTAAAAATTGAAATCGATATATTACGTTTTGCTAAGGCAAATACTGTAAGACATACTCATTTATTTCCATAAAATTACATATGAGTCAAGTAGCCTATTGAAAAACTCAGCCTAGGGACATCCTAAAAAAGTAAATATGATAAAAAAATCTAGTAGGAAAAGCTTCCGGAAGCGCGGTTTTCGTCGCTAGTGTATTTTCTAAAGCGAGCAGTACCTGTGACTGTGATGAAATGTGGCGAGCCGGCCGCCGCGATCGCGTCAGCTGCGGCCGCCGCAGCTGCCGCGGCTACGTCGTGCGCCTGTTGCTGAGCAACGACAGCTGCGGCGTGTTGCGCGGCAGCTGCGACAGCGTCTTGCTGCTGTTGATCGTCGACGACGCTGCTGTCGCCTGTCGCGGATTCGCTAGCGCCGCCTGCCGGACCGCCGCCGCTCGTGCTCTCGTTGCTGGAATCCGCCGCTTGCTCCAGCGCACTGGAGACATCTATCACGGACACGCCGTTCACCAGGGCGCCACCGCCGCCACCTGCACCTGTCTGCAATTCATGGAAGAAAAAACATTTAGGTCCGAAGGGGTATTACGTAAACAACCTACATAATGTCAAAAAAAAAACGACAAAATGTCAACTTGCTGTCCAGATAGTTGAAGTTCATGTAAGAAATCATTTAGGTCCGCAGGGTTATTACGTAAACAACCTATATAATGTAAAAAAAATAACAACAAAATTGTCAACTTGCTGACCAGATAGTTGAAATTCATGTAAGAAATCATTTAGGTCCGCAGGGTTATTACGTATACAACCTATATAATGTCAAAAAACGACAAAATGTCAACTTGCTGACCAGATAGTTGAAATTCATGTAAGAAGTCATTTAGGTCCGCAGAGTTATTACGTATACAACTTATATAATATCAAAAAAAAAAACGACAAAATGTCAACTTGCTGACCAGATAGTTGAAATTCATGTAAGAAATCATTTAGGTCCGCAGGGTTATTACGTATACAACCTATATAATGTCAAAAAATGACAAAATGTCAACTTGCTGACCAGATAGCTGAAATTCATGTAAGAAATCATTTAGGTCCGCAGGGTTATTAAGTATACAACCTATATGTCAAAAAAAAACTACAAAATGTCAACTTGCTGACTAGATAGTTGAAATTCATGTAAGAAATCATTTATGTCCGCAGGGTTATTACACGTATACAACCTATATAATGTCAAAAAAAAAACGACAAAATGTCAACTTGCCGACTAGATAGTTGAAATTCATGTAAGAAATCATTTAGGTCCGCAGGATTATTACGTATACAACCTATATAATGTCAAAAAAAAAACGACAAAATGTCAATTTGCCGACTAGATAGTTGAAATTCATGTAAGAAATTATTTAGGTCCGCAGGGTTATTACGTATACAACCTATATAATGTCAAAAAAAAACGACAAAATGTCAATTTGGCGACTAGATAGTTGAAATTCATGTAAGAAATCATTTAGGGTCCGCAGGGTTATTACGTATACAACCTATATGTCAAAAAAAACTACAAAATGTCAACCTGCTGACTAGATAGTTTAAATTCATGTAAGAAATCATTTAGGTCTGCAGGGTTACTTCGTATACAACCTATATAATGTCAAAAAAAAAACGACAAAATGTCAACTTGCCAACTAGATAATTGAAATTCACGTAAGAAATCATTTAGGTCTGCAGGGTTATTACGTATACAACCTATATAATGTCAAAAAAAACGACAAAATAACTTGCCGACTAGATAGTTAAAATTCATGTAAGAAATCATTTAGGTCCGCAGGGTTATTACGTAAACAACCTATATAATGTATAAAAACAACAACAAAATGTCAACTTGCTGACCAGATAGTTGAAATTCATGTAAGAAATCATTTAGGTCCGCAGGGTTATTACGTATACAACCTATATAATGTCAAAAAACGACAAAATGTCAACTTGCTGACCAGATAGTTGAAATTCATGTAAGAAATCATTTAGGTCCGCAGGGTTATTTAGTATACAACCTATATAATGTCAAAAAAAAAGAACAAAATGTCAACTTGCTGACCAGATAGTTGAAATTCATGTAAGAAATCATTTAGGTCCGCAGGGTTATTTAGTATACAACCTATATAATGTCAAAAAAAAAGAACAAAATGTCAACTTGCTGACCAGATAGTTGAAATTCATGTAAGAAATCATTTAGGTCCGCAGGGTTATTTAGTATACAACCTATATAATGTCAAAAAACGACAAAATGTCAACTTGCCGACTAGATAGTTGAAATTCACGTAAGAAATCATTTAGGTCCGCAGGGTTATTACGTATACAAATTATATAATGTTTCTCCAGAACAAGAACAAAAATCCCTCAAAATTGCTACTTTTTCAAAAAAAAAACCCAAATCACAGTTTATTAACGGAAATGGATAGATTTGCTTCAAAAAGGATACTGTCTAACCATGTGACATCCCCCAGACCATTATTTCCCCAAAAAAACTCTCCAAGTAAAAATCCCCCAACATAGCAACAATGTCAAAGGATTCATTTTCGGGGTCGTTTCTACAGCACAAACAGCACTGCCGTCGTTTCTTCTGGTATCAATTGTGCGGAACCTTCTGATTTTTCGGTATTTATACCGAAATGGGACCTTATTTGTCGGAATACCGAAAACGTCCTCAGTTTTCACGCTTTTTAAAATAACTCAGATATTTTCAGATTGTTTTCCTAAAAAGAGCTAAGACAAAATAAAGCTAAAAAATGAGTTATATTTAGTTTTATGCCCCATACCAATCATGTACACTAAGGGCCGTATCGTCAGTTGTTCCTACAATTGTAGGACGACTTTATGGCCTACTTTTCTATCCTTCATAAATCCTGGGATATTTCTAGATTTCTACTGTTCTGTGTCCTATTGTATAGATATTTAACATAACCTTAAAAACGAGAACTGACACGGAACATTAGAAAACTATGAAAATCAAGGAGGCCATATAGGCATCCTACATTTTTTGTAGGAACAACTGACGATACGGCCCTTGGACAGACGACGATACGAGGAACGTATCTGTTTACAACAGGTTTACTTTTAATTAAATATTCGGCACTATCTTACGACAGGTTTTTTTGGGTCCCTGATTTAAAATGTGGGGTTAGTTTGTTAGATTTCGAGATGACTTCAAAGTCATATCAAGGAGATTTCCAAAAGAAGCCGAGCAGTTGAACACAACCGGATATCGTTTAGGGTTTTCCCGAATCGGAGGATAATTAGTCACTATCAGGGCATCTGAGGTCACTTCAAGAAGAGATTGAAAAAAGTCTAAGATTCGCGTACAGACACGTATTATGTTTTTGCGGTTTCTGGGTCCAAATCAGAAATCAGTTTGTTTCTAGGAAAAAATTTGAAAGGTACGTTAAGGTCTCTCAATGGACAAATTCAAGAATTTTGACTTCACGGTTGGTGAATATTAAAAAGCGTCATTCGATTCGCCCACAAAAATGACTATGAAATAAGATTGCAGACTACTAAATTACTACTGAGAATACATCCAACTCAGAGGAACTCGATCTTCAATTTCTATTCTAATTCTAATTATTCAGCGCATATCGCAATAAATATTATTTTAAAATGAAAGATTAGGATGTAACTTGCACGAAAATATCATTTTTTCTTTAAGGAACCTTCCGATTACTATTTTATAGAACTTCAAAGTTGCATTTTGTGTGGTAATACTGTGGTATAGAATACTGCTTTATAATCTAATTATAATTATAATAAATTAAGACTTTTATTTTGCAAATAACCTCATTTCTAATTACGTATTTCTCATAAAAAAGGTACAACTTGGCAACAATGGACATCATTTATCTTATCTGTCAAGAAATGAGCGTTATAAAATGGCCATGGAGAATTGTTTGCACTTTCAAATATTCCTTATAAACGCAAAACTTTGATCTCATTGAAATTACGCGAAAAAAAAATGGTTAAGGAATTTCAAGAAGACATAGAAGAATCACAAAACAACACCTCTACACAGTTTACCAAGTAAATACCATCAATTACGTATGTATTTTGATCTGTTATTCAAGCTAATAAGTTAACGTGTAATAACACGTCTGATTTCGAAAGTGAACATGGATTTTTAGCATCTTAAAGTCGCAAAAAACGCTTAGTTTTGCAATTTTTCGCTAAGTAATTAGATCTACATCATAAACGGGGTCACATACATATAAAACGACCTCGGATTCGATATGGGCAGCCCAAAATACGTGGAATAGGGGTCATTTGAACCGCATTTAAAGCATTTTAACATACAGGGTGACTTTGAAGATGAGTCATTAATTTTCAGATAATGATTGTAGAAGGAAGATAAGCCAAAATATGTGTGTAAAAATAAAAAAAAATAAAAAAAAAATGTTACCTTGTTTTATAAAGTATCCTCCCGACAAGTATTTCAGTGCGGACCTGTATTTGATCGTGCGGTCTTGGAGCACCGGCATGCCCTCCCCTGTGAGGTCTTAAGTCACCTGATTCACGAGCCCTTTGTACTACATTAACAAAGGCACGAGGGGTTGGTTGCACTCGATTGGGAAACCGATCCGCATAAATCCGTGATACCGCGTTTGAGCTACGCAACAGACACCACTATTCACTCACGCGTTACCGACTGACACTGACTGTATACAACTGAATAAAATAATTGTAAAAACATCGTTCCAAATTCTTTCGCTTTTTTGTTTCCGATGCGATTAACCGATAAGGCGGATTATATCCGTTGTTGCCAAACACGAGCACATAATATTATTATTGAGACAGGGCGGTACTCAAACTTCCAAAGGGCTATAACTTTGTTACTTTAATTTTACCAGAAAAATGGTAAAGGAAAAAAACATTTCTTTTGATCAGATCGACTCACTGTTAAAATAAATATATATAATATAATATAATTACCATGTATTCTTACCAAAAAGTCACAAAATGGGTCAGTCGGGAACGTGAACGCAACATATCTTATAATACGCTTTTTGGGTCGTTGAAACCGAATCCATGGCCCATTCCGTCCGAAAATGCCTCGTTTTCAAGATACTGGCAAGAATTCAACTTTATCAAAAAACGACTAATAAAAAATTTCTAAAAACCCTTGCGCGTCTATGATCGATATGGAAACTTGTTTTCTGGGTAAATCGGGTGCTTAGATTCCAAATTCGATGTCGATACATCGCTAGAATTTACGGCTAGCCCGGAAAAATAGTTTCTCGTCAATTTTTCACCTTAAATTCCGTCTGATAACACTTAAGATATTTTTCACTGTGATATTCATATTGAGCACCCCAAATTACCTCATTGTGCAAAGCTCCGCTCTCATGTAGCCATCGATAGTAAAAATAGATTTTTAGCACCTTAAAGTCGCAAAAAACGCCTAGTTTTGCAATTTTTCGCTAAGTAATTAGAACTACATCATAAACGGGGTCACATACATATAAAACCACTTCGGATTCGATATGGGCAGCCCAAAATACGTGGAATAAGGGTCATTTGA